ATGAAAAGAAACTGTTGACCTCAGTAAAGACCATCAATGAAGAGAGGAGCCCTTCAGGAATCAGTGTGGTGATTCAGTTCATTATTGTGTTACTATAGCCAGTGATGAGTCAGCAATATTCAGTGTCTGTTGTATGCAAAACAATTTGAGATAAATGGTATAAAAGACCTTAATCTAAATGAAGACAAAAACTAACGTTATTAATTTCTACCCAGATAGCTCCACAAAACCATTGGTTAGAAATGCACAGAAAGGGCAAGTACTATGTAGCCATGGTCAGCATGTCAGGGTGTAGTGGGTCAAGTGAGAAATGCTCCCCATATCCGAACATGTGGTCCCCATGTTGGTGCTGATGTTTGGGAAGGTTTAGGTGGTGCAGCCTTGTTGGGAAAAGTTTTGAGGTTGTATATCCTTGCCCTACTTCCTGTTCACTCTCTCTGCTGTGCCTATGGTAAAGGAGGTGAGCTCTCAGCTTCCTGCACTGGCTGCCATGCCTGCTGCCATACTGTCCTGCCACTACAATTTTTAACCCCTGGAACCATAAGCCAAAATAAACTGTTTTCTTGGTGGTGGCATTTTATCACAGCAGTGGAAAAGCTTAGTGCCAATATGAATGAAAAAAAGAAATAAAAGGAAAGAAAGGACATGACTTCTAGGTATAATGGAGGAGAAGTTTATTGTAGATATGAGAGAGAGTACAGCCAGAGGCAGGAACCTCTGGGAGAGTCCAGAGTGTACATGACCCTGAGCTAGGCCATATGGGAAGAGAGGAAGGGGAAATGGGAGAGAGGGGAACCCGGTGCAGCAGCCAGGAGACCCAAAAGTACAAAGAGGTGCAGGTAACCAAAACGTTGAATTATATAGGGAAGAGCCTCTAGAGGAAGGGCAGCCCAACCCCTGGTCTGGAGAGTTCAGAGTCGAGGTCAGAGTGTGTAAGCCAAACCCTGTAACAGGTAGGGACTGAGGGATTCTGGGAGAACCTGGTGGCCAGCTCAGCTGTGATATGTTAAATAGGCACCTCAGCCCTTTGTCCTGGGTTTTAGACTTAACACAATAGAACTTAGTACTGAGAGAAAGATATTGCTGTGATGAACTTGACTATATTGGTTTTTTAGAGGAGTATTGTGGAAGAATTTTGGAGATTTGGGCTAGAAAACAAGATAAAAATGTACAGTTTGTAGAGAAAAGGAACTCTAGGAAGCTTAATGTTGCAGCCTAGGCATGTGCTGGAAAGAGGAACATTAGCATGGTTTAGGAGAAGCTTTCCCTGCACTGGAACAAAGGAAAAGGGTACTCTGTACAAGACCCCACCTAGCCAAGCTTCCAGTGTTAAAACACGACCTAAGGCATTTTCTGATCCCAGAAAGCAACTGAATGAAAAGCACTGCTGCTCATATGATTCAAGGGCCCCATCCCACGCTTGTAGCCCCACTTGGCTCTATTGTCCCATGGTGCTGGCTTTGGACATGAAGATGAGTGAGGGAGTCATACATTCTCCCGCTGTGGCTTCAGAGAGCCTCTGAGGCCAGGTAGCATGTGGCAGGGAGTCCCTGCATGAAGGCCCGAGAGAGTAAGAGGCTGTGAGAGATGAGTATGTGGAGCTGTGAAAGAGAAGCTTGGTTGCAGTGGAGACCGAAAGATGTTGGAGATGTCAACACCATGAGAAATCTGCCAAGGAGAGCTGCGTAAAGGGAGTAGGACCAGCTCAAGAGAGAGATGTATGCTACAGGCTGGAAAGCTGGAGGGGTGGAGCTATCTAAGCCCCTGACAGAAGACACAGAGCCGCAGGATTTGGTGTTTGTCCTGCTGAAAACTGTTCATGCTTTGGCCAGTATTTTCTTACTATGTCCCATTCCCTGCCTTTTGGAATGGTAATGTATATTCTGTGTCATGTGTTGGAAATATGTGATTTGCCTTTTGATTTTTACAGAGGGCTACATTCTGAGATGCTTTGCATCTCAGTAGAAACTTTAGGCTTTTAGACTTAACAGTGTTAAGACTGTGAAAGACTACAGGGGCTTTTGAAGTTGTACTAAATGCATTTAGCATTTTATGGCCAGGAGCCTATGAAGACCAGGGAGTGAGTTGTGGTGGACTGAATGGAAAATGTTGCCCCCAGGCTCCTGTATTTGAACTCAGGGTTTCCTGTCAGTGGCACAGCTTAGGGACATTTGGGTGGTGCAGTCTTCCTGGAAGAGTACTCACTGGGGTTGGGCTTTGAAATGATCTATATCCTTGTCCTGCTTTCTGTTTGTTTTCTTGGCTTCATGCTCATGTAAAGATGTGAGCTTTGAGCTTCCTGCTCCAGCCATCACGCTTGCGGCCTGCTGCCATGCTGTCCCCACAGTGATAGACATCAACCCTCTGGAACTATAAGCCCTTTGCTTCTGAGTCATTTCTCCAGCCCCTCAAGTTTTTATTTTAAATATTTTAACATTCTTAATATTAAATTGAAAATTAATTTTAAATATTTGTTTGTGTGTGTGTGTGTGTGTGTGAAGTACATACATATACATGCCCTTGCCATGGCATTTGGAGATCAAAGGACAACTTTTGGGAGTTGGCTCTTTCCTTCCACTATAAGAGTTCTGGAAATGGTTGTGAGACTAACCTTTAACAACTGAGCCATGTGGTTTAACAACTAACCTTTAACAACATGCCTTTAATCCCAGCACTTGGGAGGCAGGTGGGTCTCTGTGAGTTCAAGGCTAGCCTGGTCTACAGAGTTGAGTTCCAGGATAGCCAGGGCTACACAGTGGGAAGCCTATCTCCAAAAACAAAAACAAACAAACAAACAAACAAACAAACAAACAAACAAAAAACCCAAACCAAACCAAACAAAACAAAAGTGTTCTGTAAATGGAATTCAGGTCATAAAGCTGTACTGAGCCTAACTTCTCAAATTTGACACTGGCCATCTGGACCTGTTGTTTTGTTCCTAGTGAATCCTGTTTCCACCCAGTTGACTAGCCGTCCTTTTCGTTTCACAGATTGGAATCGAGGCCCACTGCTTTGAAGCATTCCCTGACTTTAGGCAGTAGTAGCACTGACTTCATTGTCTTAGTGTCACAATGATATTACGGTGAGAAGTTCAACTTGTTGGATAGAAAGGTTATTTAATTGGGAACTGTATTTGGAAATAAAGCTTTGAATGAGAGAAATTTTAAGAGGAAGCTATGATAAGCAGAACCAATTTGAAGATTTGTGTTCAATACACCACGATATTTTAACAAGAATTATGGTACTAACTCACCTACAGCTATTAGGATTTTGTAAAATTTTTACCCCTTTCCAGACGGAAGTAAAATGATCAGAGAGAAACAGAAATAGAAATTATAATCTTGTTACATCACAATTATGTGTGTGTACATTGCTTGAGAATTCTTTCCCTGGGAAGAGGTAAACAAATATTTACAGGGCGGGAACAATAAATCAAAGCAAGAATCCTAAAGTCCAACTTGGAGTACCTATAGGTTTATTCGGCTTACTTACAGAGCCTGGGTGAGCAGTTGCTTACAGGAGTGTGGGAGACCCCCAAACATCTGTACCACCAGGAAGTTTCATTGCAGTATGGATGATGACATGACTTCTCCATGGCTGCATAGACAGAGTCCCCTTTTCAGATAACCTTCCACAGTTTGTATACCCCTGCACCTTCTGAGACCTGAGGCTGCCTGCATCTGGGACAGTATATATACAAATTGCTAAAGGTACAGGAGGGAGTAACATTTTCACCACAGAGAGCTCCTACTAAGCAAGTGGAAAGCCCTGGGATCAAGGACAAACTTGGCTTCCCTAATCATTATAGACAAAGTAGACTTCCAAACAAAGCATATCCAGGACTAACAAGGAAAAAGGTAAGCTTGATCCAAAATCTTTTCTGCAGTTGAAAAAGAAGAAATAGTATACTTGGCAACAATGGCCACAAGAGGTTATCATAGGGAAACATAAGCATGACTAAAAGATTCAGGTGCAGATGGCATAATCCATCCTTTATCTGAAGAAGGAAAACAAAGCTCACACCTGGGACAGATTTGAACAAATGGTTAATAAACACCGCATTACTGTGTTTCATACTTTCCTATTACAGATTCACAATCAGCTTTGAAAAAGTAAGTTAAACGTTTCTTAAGCTCAGAAATAAACGTGTTTTTTTATTCTTGCTTCTGCTTAGATATTGGGCATATTCCATTCACTTCCTGCCATAAGTCAGCAATTAAAAGTTGAATTTTAAAGAAGCATCATTTATTTACATTATTTGTTTACTATGACAAATAAGGGTAAGGGAAAAAAATGGAGAGGAGATACCACAAACACTTCACATCACTACAGACTTCAGGTTTTGCTTTTTAAAGGCAGGGTCTTCAGGTAAGTAGCCCAGGCTGGCTTTGAATTTGGTGCACAGCTGAGGACTGAGTTCCTGATCCCCTCTCTACCTCCCAAGTGCTGAAATTGCAGGCGTGTACCGTGCCTGATTCCTTTGCAGACCTTTAAATTTGAAAGCGCTACATTCTGTTCTGCAACTAACACCTCCTAACAAACACTCTCAACGTCTTTGCACATTACGAAATATTCACCAGTATTCACATTGTTTTCAGTGGCTGCGTGGCTTTTGGATGGCCTCCAAATGACTTCGGTTTCATGGCGTGTGGTATTCTGAAGAGTTCTATTCAATACTTTCCCCACAGATACCATGGAGGCCTGACTGAGGCTACAGCTTTTGGTCCTCCCCGGAATTTCCCGAGGAAATGATTGTATCCTTTCTCTGGCAACACCGAAATATCTGTGCATTATCCCTGCGTCCCAAGGTGAGGATCGCTAAACAAGACAGTCTCAGTAGGCAGAGCGGAGAACTCAGAGCCGGGAACCCGGCGGAAGTCCCGCCCTGCTCATCTGATCTCTGACACCGGGCGCCGGTCTCCAGGCGGAAACGTTGCTGCTGTGGGCGTGTGCGCGCATGCGCATCAGGTGGGCGCCCGCCAAGCTTTTTTCAGGTAGTGGCTGCCGTCCGCCCTGGCGGCGGCGCAGTGCCCCCGGGTTTCAGGTTTGGGGTGGAGGGCGTGGCGTGATCGTGGAACCCCGAGAGCTCCTAATGCTGACCTGGGGAAGTCACACCCGGCCTGCCTGCCAAGGCTGCGCGGGGCTGTGGCGGGGCCTCCGGAAAGGTTCGCTGCCCTACAGGGAAGTAGGTGAAGGACGCTCCACGGAATAGGCCCGAGACGGCCGGCCTTCTGTGCATTGACCGTAGAAATGTCACATAGACTCAGTCCACACTGCACAGTAATCCTCGGTGAGCCTAAAGAAGGGTGGATGCCCCCTGCAGTCGGATCAGGGTGGGATGGCCTCGAGGCTTTCCTTGTCCAATTTTTTGAAAACTAGTAAGTTAGCTATCAGTTGGCTGTCTGAGGTCTCTCACAGCTTAAAAACGAAAGTTGAGTCCAAGCGAGGGTGGCATTTTGCTGCGGCCTTTAGCACATGACTGCAAGCACACCTAGGGTATTTGTTAGACCCTTCCGTTGTTTAAACGACACTTGCTGTCTCTTGTGGTCTGTTCCAGGAATGTGTTTTTGATCTTCTGAATTCCAACCATGTTGTCAAACTGCTTACTAAAATTTCTAAAAGGCACAAGCTCTCGTCCATATCCAGCGTCATGCTGCTGGTTAATAAGCAAACGCAAGTTTTCTGGAACTACACCAGCAGCCGTGTCTCTCAGGAGAGTTGTCATCACAGGCATCGGACTAGTGACACCACTAGGTGTTGGGACTCAACTAGTTTGGGGTCGGCTTCTCCGAGGAGAAAGTGGAGTTGTTTCTGTAGTTGGTGATGAGTACAAGAGTATTCCTTGCAGTGTAGCTGCTTATGTGCCAAGAGGTGCTGATGAAGGTCAGTTCAATGAACAAAACTTTGTGTCCAAATCAGACACCAAGTCCATGTCATCTCCCACCATCATGGCCATCGGGGCAGCAGAGTTGGCACTGAAAGACTCCGGCTGGCATCCGAAGTTAGAAGCAGATCGGGTGGCTACTGGCGTTGCCATTGGCATGGGCATGGTTCCTCTTGAAGTTGTTTCTGAAACTGCTTTGATGTTTCAGACCAAAGGTTACAATAGAGTCAGCCCATTCTTTGTCCCTAAGATTCTGATCAATATGGCTGCAGGCCAGGTCAGCATTCGATATAAACTCAAGGGCCCCAATCACTCAGTGTCCACAGCCTGCACAACAGGAGCACATGCTGTGGGAGACTCCTTTAGATTTATAGCCCATGGGGATGCAGATGTGATGGTGGCTGGGGGCACAGATTCTTGCATTAGTCCATTATCTCTTGCTGGGTTTTCCAGAGCCCGCGCTCTGAGCACAAACCCAGATCCTAAGCTGGCCTGCCGACCATTTCATCCAGAGAGAGATGGTTTTGTCATGGGCGAGGGTGCTGCTGTGCTGGTGTTAGAAGAACATGAACATGCTGTTCAGAGAGGAGCCCGGATATATGCGGAAGTTCTGGGCTATGGACTCTCGGGTGATGCTGGTCACATAACTGCCCCTGATTCTGAAGGAGAAGGTGCCTTCAGGTAAAGACTGGTTGTTCTCTTCAAAATATTTTTTCCTGTAAGAAACTATTGGAACTTCAAATTCAAAAAAAAGTTATTTGGTCTTGGTGTATGGTATATATTTTTCTATCTTAGACCAAACTTTTTTTTTAATTCTTTGCTTGAAAACACTTAAATATCTTTAAACAAAAATTGAATGGACTTTAGTCAAAGCCAATAGAGCTGTGTCTTTGCTGACTCCCTATGTCCCCCTTTCTGCTTCGTAATTATGACAGCTCTCTTCCTCAGTTTCCCTTTGAACCCTTATCAGACCTAGAGAATAAAGACAAGACCTGCTAGATGTGTCTGGTTGGGTTCTGTTCCTTTCAAAGCAGCATTTCTCAGCCTGGTCACCCAGGGGTCTTGCTGATGTACTGATTCTAACTGTGGATCTAGGTTGACACTCAAGAGTACATTTCTAACCAGCTCCAGTCTAAAGACCATACTTTGAAAAAAGTCCTAGATAATATGTTACTTTCTCAGCTTCGACCGTATTATACTTTATCTACTTAAATCTGCCAGGAGTTAGCGGGATTTCCTGTAAAGGGAGAAATACTAGCTGTTTTTGGCTTTGTGGATCACAGGGTCTCTGCCATAACACTCAGGATGGAGTTCACCCAGTATAGTTGGAAACCTTTATTTCTTTCACACAAGCTGCTCAGGTGAACAGTCTGTTAATTTTAAACTTATTTGATCATTTTCTTTTCTTACCAGATGCATGGCTGCTGCTGTGAAAAATGCAGGTGTGTTGCCTGAACAGATATCCTATGTCAACGCACATGCCACCTCCACACCACTGGGTGATGCTGCAGAAAACAGGGCCATTAAGAGGCTCTTTGGAGATCACGCTGGTGCCCTTGCCATATCTTCCACAAAAGCAGCCACCGGGCATCTGTTGGGGGCTGCAGGGGCGGTTGAGGCAGCTTTTACCGCACTGGCTTGTTACCATCAAAAACTACCACCGACTTTAAACCTGGATTGTACAGAGCCAGAATTTGATCTCAATTATGTTCCACTGGAGGCGCAGGAATGGAAAACTGAGGGTCGACGTATTGGACTCACCAATTCCTTTGGGTTTGGTGGTACTAATGCAACACTTTGTCTTGCTGGCATGTGAACATTGGCTTTTAACTCTCATAAATGTATAAATAATAATGTGCATACATATGTTTAATATCAATACCCAGATGTCTTTAACACAACTGGTGTTTGTAGTAGAGTAGTTCTTGCTAGGGAAGGGGCTGCCCAGAGCTCTATGGGTATTTTACAGCATCTTGGTGTCTCCTGTAAGATTTCAGGGGCAACTAGTAACAACCAGATTTGTCTTTGGACATGTCCTTATGTTTTCTGGGGGCTAAAATAACCTGCACCCAAGAATTATTAATTTGTATTTCCCTAATGCTCTGAATCCAATAGCTTTTGGTGCTCTTTTTTCTCCTCCTGTCCTCTTCAGACATTTATTTAGAGAGTAGCTCCTCCAAGCAAGGCTGTGTTGTTGCATGTTGTAACTCCGGGGCACCGTTTTTGTTCTGCATGTAGGAAAAGACGATACAAGTGGGAGTGTGTGTCACCAGTCAGCATCCTTTGAGGACAGCTGTGACCACTGATGACCTATTCACCTATCTAGGTGTCGTTAATGGAATTTCCCCGAACTCTCAAGTGTTCACTTCTCAGGAGGAAGTGAAACTGTTTGACACTTCTTCTTCTGAATGTATTTGTGCTGTGAAGAATGGACAAAAAGATCCTTTGCAAAGAGACTCTTGGTAAATTAGGCCCCGTTCCCTCAGTCTACCTCTTTGTGCCTGTGGCAGTATTCTGGCAGCTTCCTATTCTAAGAACCAGTGGGCCCTCTACTTCCTGGGTTGGGAATTTCTTTAAAGCCAGAGGAGCAAGTTTCCTGGAGGTGACAATAAGCCAGGGAAGCATTTGTGGGTGGGGCTTTTACTTCAGAGTAAGTGCTCCATTTCCATGCAGACCCTCAGGTCCGCAGTGATAGGGAGCTTCGTTCAGGCACTCACAGCATTCCCCACCCAGGGACACCTTAACGGCCTCTCTGCCCCTGTTCAGCTTTCCCGGCTTTTATCCCTGTCCCATGAGCCATCCCCAAACAAACTGCCTTCTCTTGGACTCTACTTTCTCAGTAGCTCACAATGAGACATAGTAAAAAAGAGGAAAAAAGGTTGTATGTCTTTCTGCAGAAATGAGTAACATTCCCACATTTTACTTAAAACTTTTTGTTCTTGTTTTATTTTTTTAAAGATTTTTAAATAACACATATGAATGTTTTCCCTGCACAAAAACTTTTTGTTCTTGTTTTATTTTTTTTAAAGATTTTTAAATAACACATATGAATGTTTTCCCTGCACATATATGTATGTACCTCATGTGTGAGTCTGGGGCACAGGGAGGCCAGAACAAGGCATCAGATGGCCTGGAACTTCAGTTATAGATGGTTGTGAATCATCACGTGGGTACTTAGAACCAAACCTGGGTCCTCTGCCAGAGCAACAAGTCTCTCTCTCTCTCTCTCTCTCTCTATATATATATATATATAATATATATATATATATATATATTATATATATATATATTATATATATATATAATTTTACAATACCATTTAGTTCTACATATCAGCCATGGGTTCCCCTATTCTCCCCCCTCCCA